ACTCTACTGACGCATTCTTTGCGAAACACTTATCACTACCAACTCTCGATCACAGCAAAACGACACTATGGGCTTGATCCTGCAGCGAGCCAACGAGGCACTCGACATCAATCTCACCCCGGGAATTGAGGAGCAACTAAGTGTCAACGGCTCCAACTGGCTATGGACTTGTGTAGCCATCTACTCTTTCTTCTTCGTACGTATGCCCTACTAAAAATCTCGTTTATCATCTTCCTTCTGACCTCCATCATCAGCTTGGCGTCTTCGCCCTCTCATGGAAACCTAGAAGCAACGAAAAGGTCTTCCACTACCTCCTCAGCATCGCCCTCCTAGTCGGTGCCATCACATACTTCTCCAACGCCTCCAACCTCGGCTGGTCCATCGTGACCCAGGGCACGACCTCCCGCTCGGGTGCTCCGCGACAAATCTTCTTCAACAAGTACATCAACTGGGTCGTCGCCTTCCCCATAGTCAACATCCTCCTGGGCCTCGTCGCCAACTCGTCCTGGGCCACCATCGTCTGGCACGTCTTCCTCTCCTGGGTCTGGGTCATCAGCTACCTCGTCTCGGCCTACACCCCGTCCGTCTACAAGTGGGGCTTCTTCGTCTTCGGCACCGTCGCCTACCTTGTCATGGCGGCGTCGACGTTCGCCGAGGGTAGCGTGGGCGCAAAGCGCGTGGGCACCCAGGGAGACTACTGGATCCTCGCCGGGTATTTCAACCTCCTCTGGCTTCTGTACCCGATTGCCTTTGGTGTCTCTGAGGGCGGCAACACCATTGGCGTCACGCCTCACTTCATCTTCTTTGGTGTTCTGGACGTTCTCATGATTCCCTGCGGCGCTGTTGTCCTCCTGCTGCTGTCCAGGAAGTGGGACTACAACGCCTTGAACCTCTACTTCACGCAATACGGCCGCGTTCCCCAGGGTGGACACTTCCCTGAGAAGTCGGCGGCTCCTGCCCCTGCCCCAGCTGTGACCCCCGCTGTCTAAAATGTCCTTGAGCCTTAGAAACATTGTGTATGGTGTCGGACGACTGAAGCCCTCCTCTCGGGATACAGTTTATCGACGATCTGAACATGACCGGCAATTTCTGCTTGACGCCATGCCATTATCGGCCTTGAGTAGGCAGTCGACGAGGCAATCAGAAAGAGAACACGGAATACAATCATTTACACAGGAGCGCCAACGGAGTAATCCCTCATACGAGAAACACATATAATCCGGATGGCGTACGGATAGGAAACACCCTCACTCGTTTGCTTCTTTTCGCAGAGTTGGAGTACGCTGACAGAGTTGATAATGTATAATGCGGTAATAAGTTTGAGCAAAATTCATCAGCTGCTACTACTAGATGATTGGCCTGAATAATAGCGCGGTCTTGAGTGAATCCTTACTACTCTTCTCTTGATAGGTCACAGTAAAGCCAACACTTCCAGGTAGAGTCTTTTTCCAATCATTGCTAAGATGTGATTCTTCGCCTTTGAGTTGCGTTCTCCGAGTCTCGCCTGTGGAACAGATTCCCTAGTAGACATTATCTCGACCACAGCAAGGCAAGGAGCATTTGACGTGTTTCCAAAACTTGAGAGCTTGGAAGGTCCCCGATCACTCCCATATGCGAAGCTTTCGTGCAAGAGAATGGAAATTGGCCTGAATAGACGTACAACGAAGAAGGGATGTGGATGGTAATCTAGTTTCACTATGTGGTGGCTCTAGAATACCGATGCCACATTGGTGAGGAGGCGTGAAAAGATAAGAATCGGTCTAGTCGGGGGTTTGAGGTATACAATCACCTCAACCTCGTCGTCCGTAACTTCGTAATCGTAGGCCCTTATAATAAATAGGCTCAGCGTTGCGCGAAAGGCGTTATATATGGCTTGACTTCTTCTAGAAGCTTTTTGTTAAGCCTCTATCGACGGCGTCACTATTCGTCTCCCTTTTATCCCCGTCGTCCTACCGTTGACGCTTCTCTCACATACTATAAAGACTAAGACTGAATGGTAGGTCGTTCTTTCAGTCAAACTATCTTCAGTTTATCTAGAACAATCTCGATTATATCACCGGTGCCGATCGTACGTCCTGTACAGAGAAGGGGCGTTTCAAATCAACCTTCGTTAATCCCCTTCTCAAGCAGATCTTGAACTAAAGCTTATCGTACGAAATAGGCAGCCGTTACCACCGTCCACTAGAGCCATGATATTACGGTAGGAATAGGATATCTAGAAGAAGGGGGCGAGACTAGATACTCGCTCGAAGCAAGGTTGAAGGCTTCCCCCCCACCTCGGGTAAGGCTCGTTTCTAGATGCTCAACTACTCGATGCCGAGAAGGATCTGAAATCGTTGTGGACAGAAAGGCGAAATGCGACTCGTTACATGCTTCATTTGATTCACCGTTGTCTCTTCCAAACACCCATGCGGTCAATATGTTTAAAGAGATGAGCTGAAGATATGTTACGCCATATGATAGTTGTCTAGAGTTCTTGACTACGAGATTGCGATTGGCCTGACGCCCAGGTCGCAGAGCCGCATTGTTAACTACGTAGCGCATCATAGAGGCTAGATGTTATGGGAGGTAATGGATATAGTAACCTCCCTTACAGCAAATCTATGAAAACCGAAGATACAATCTGTGTATGAGCAGCACATTTACTCGGCCCTCGATCGTGGTACTTTTGCGACAGGTCTCTTAGTTATCTCATGTCGTTGGAGGCTAAGCTTCAAGCCAAATGCTTCGAATCGTTTGGACTCAACCTTGGGTATCTCACCTTTTGAATACTATCGCTCTCGTCAATGAAGTAACTTCTCCCTGATGAAACCTCGTTGAGTACTGGCTGACTAAGAAGCGGATGAATCCTTCCGGTCAGGCCAACGATAGAAGCTGACTGGTCGCCATGATCGAGAATATGTATCAACCGTGTATCGGGATGAAGAAGAGACGCCAAATCGCCATATAGTCTCATGTGCCAGGACTACATCAGAATGGATACGATGACGTCCAAAGCCCCCTCCATGTTCGCTCATTCTCTCCATCCTAGGACGTCGCAGTCCATCATCGTCATCAGACAGACTCCCTCTATACTAGCCGTCACATCAAATCGCTTCGCCTGGAACCCAGCATTCAAGACAAGAGAGCAACCATCCGTTCGGTGTCCTCGGACGCCAGGTCTCGTCCGGCCAACCGTATCCGTATTCAAGACATACATGAACTCATCCCCCTCCAAGACTATTCGCCCCCCCAAAAAGCAACCATCACGAACCGCACCTCGCAAAAGGCGGGACTGCCCGCCGCCTGGGCCCGCGCCCGCAAACACACATACAAAGACGAACTTCTTCCATCATAGCGTCAGGAATGTAAAAAGCAAACACCCCGATACCCCTTCCCCAGTCGCCGAATCCAATCCAGACCCCCCTCGGACTTTTCAAAATGCCCCACGTGGCAAAACCATCGTCCTCGAAGTGAGGAGAGTTCGTGGCATTTTTTCGCATCGTGCCATCTCACCGGTGCCCGCTGCAGGGAGGGGAATCGACCAGACAGACATTCCAATCAATCTCCGACATTGTTTTACTTCCAATCCTCTCCCGCCATAGGTAAGCGTCAAGGCGGATCTCACAGCTATGTCGGGCACACTTCATTACAACCTTTCTTTCCCAATCCTTACGGTCTCCGGGTACACCATCTCTCTCTCGGTTACGTCTCGTTATCGTATGGCTAAAAGGTTACTTCAACCTCCTTACTCGGACCCCATGTCAAAGCGTCACGTCACCAGTAACCACCGACCAGAAGACATTTTGAGGGGGTCAAAGGGTCTCATGCGCTGGCGTCGTACGGCAAGCACGGTAAAGTCTATGAGATATGTAGTGTGCCTCTCTTCACCCCCATTTAACCCTGTACGTCACTACATTTTCTCCAGCAAGAATTTGACGGCGAGTAAGTCTTCTTCAACACAAGTGAAAAGAGAGTTGGTGACAACCATGGCAGAACAAGATCGAGCTGAGGCCATTTCCCGAGCACCGTTCATAAACTCCATCATTGGTCATCTCTTAGTCGGAAAGGTTTACCAAGGTTTTGGAAAAACTCTCTCCCCCTTTCCCTTTCCCTTTCCCATCCCCCCCTCGTCTGTATCAATAAACTACAAAGAAGGTTTCTTCAAAGAATAAGCCTTGAGACGATTCCCGACGGGTAAGAAAAGAGAGACGTAGTTAAAACCACCCGAATCGGGGGAACAAAAGTGAGTGCTGGTACGCAAGGTTAACCTTCCCTCGCCTCTTCGCGCCCAAGAGGTTCGACCGACGTTTTGGGCTTCTTCCCGGCAAGAACCTAGTTGCAATTATCCCAAACAACCAACAACCTTCGCAGAGCCGCTGATGGGCCCTACCTTTCTTACCAATCAAGTGGGATACCGTGTACAAGGCAAAACTCACAATGCGCCGAATTCGCTGAGCAGCACGCGAGAACGAACCGAACGTTGGGGATGGATGGATGGATGGATGATGATGACGCTACCTCGACCGCGCCTCGGTACATAGCATCTAGTATCACACCCAAAAGCGATCTCGGACGGCCAAGAGCGCGGATGCTCTAGGCAGTCACTGCTTCCCCCCACCTTCTCATCTACTGCTAGGCTCTCTCCTTGCTGTGAAGCTGGTGCTACACGATGCCGCCTCTTCTTGTATGCCATGACCCGCAGAGGAGGGCATGAAAGCCGACCGATTCCAAGACATGAACGGATTACAACGAGCTTTGAGAACAAGCTTAGGTCACCTGAAGAGATGGTTCAGGCAAGTAAACCAGGCTGAAGCATTTGTAAGCCAAGGGGTCTTTTGAGGCGGCGGCTTTCTCGCTCTTTTCAGTATCATGGTTCACGATTCCTTGGGTCCTAGGTTCTTGAGGTTCCCAGCGCCGAGTTAGCGCCGGTGTCAAGTTCAAGTGAGGCGTCGCGCGAGAGAGAGACAGACAAAGGTTTCTGGTTCTTCTGCGGCTCTCTGGGGCTTCCCTTGTATTGCATGAGGCAGGTGCGTTGTGCTTGTGTGCGTTTCTGGACGCGGGAACAGGGCAGTACATTCAAAAGAAGCGGAAAGTCAATCGTTGATCGAGAAAAGAAGAGACAACCTTGAACCTGTGGACCTTTCTTGGGGGGGAGTTTCAAGGGAAAAAAGTTGGTCCAAAGAGAAACGGACGGTGCTCGGGGACGAGTCTCGGGGAACCCTTGCTTGAAGAGGCAAACGGGTTCGTGCAGCCAGCCTTCATCGACATGGCATGATGTAGTCTCTCCCACATCCACTGATTTATTTACGTCTACTTGGGTGCATTCAGGCTCGACTATGATATAGAGGAGGAGGGGGAGAGAAGGATTCAAGAAGAAATGGTGAAGACCTGCAACTACAAGCGCCGAATCTGCGAGGACATATGTATACCATTCTACGCATCCATGATGGGAAAGAAAGACAGGTCTCGTCAGCAGCGGTGGGGGCACGTGCATCATGCAATGGAGATTCGGCGAAGTATTGAGCTCAAAAGCTGGGACATTGTTTGCTTGCCCTCGCGTATGGTTTCTCAACCAGGGTGTGGGTGATTTCGCACCATGCTGTGCCACCGTGACGAGACAATCTGAGGCTTCGATGAGGCAGGACAGCCAACTCTACCCATTCTCTTTCGCTCATTATGCTGGCAAGAAAGACGAAGCTGCAAGATAGTTGGAGCTGGATAGACTGGCAGCGAGAAAACGTTGACCTGGCCTCTAGGGTAAGGTCGTCCGATGCAAACGGTGGAAGGGCAGCAGGCATCAAACATGGGAGACAACCCGACAGCTTTTTTCAGCCCATGGACTTTGGCAGTGACCCCCTCCCCTCCTTGGACTCATTTGTATCGTGTTACACGACATTGACCATCTATCTCACTGGCATCTATCTCACTGGTAAATGTTGAAGCCGAGCGAGCGGCTAGAGAGGATGGGCAATCGAGATGGCGTTGCCAGGCGATGCGGCGAGGTCAGATTTGGTATGGCCCTTGATGTGTAGTGTGCCGTTGCGTTTCTTTGGTGGGTGTCAAGTGCTCAGTCACCACCGGCACAGAAAGAGTTATCGGTTTGCGCCCGTGGTTTCGTGACTGGCCGATTCTTGCCCACACTGGAGAGGAGAGGAGCCTAGGAAGAGCCTTGGCTTCCATGTGCCTGTTGACCACACGTAGAAGAGTGCCTTACGTTGCAACGTCGTTGGTACTAACCCCGCCCAGCACAGTATGACAGGCTGACAAGCGTGCCTCGCAGCTCGAACGGGAGAAGCCAGCCTTGCGTTGTCGCCTGAGAGAGAAAATGGGGACCATCTTCATGGAGGAAGGCGTTGTCGGCTGTGCCGCTGGCTGCCTGTCCTTGACTCGCGGTTCGCAAATTGCCGCGCAATCATTCTAGTGTTTGCTGCCCTCAGCCTGCCAGGATGGCGAGTGAAATCGAGGGAAGACTTGCTGATGTTTGCCACGTAGGGAATCGTTGTCGAAATTCCCAAGGCCGTTGGTTTGGCTCCTCCTTCCCGTGGGCGGCGAGATCCCTTTCCACGGGAGCGTATCCAGTCATGGCAGTGAAAAGGGTCGCGTGGCGTCCCTGTTGGTTACTTTGATGACAGGTTTGCTTGATTGGCGTCTGAGCGGACCGCAGATGTATGGACGTGACCAGAACGGCATATTGGGCCCGGCCAGGTAGGTAGGTAGGTAAGGTAGGTTAGTCAATATCCGAGGGTTAATGTGAGAACGAACGGGTTTCTGGGGAGTTTGAGTTCAGATGCCACCTGGGCGATGCCGAAGCTAGTATGACCGTTGTGACATGATGCAGTAGTCGGCTGCGAGCTACTTTAGATGGTTCTTTTCTAACAAAAGATATCGCGAGAATTTGGAGTTGATGGCTGTCAAATGATCAATGGAAACACCCCTGTGATAGTCGACGATACAACGTCGAATCACGTTTAACGATTTAGGGTCGGCCGCCGGAAGCGGGCCGGAAAGACTTTGTACTGTACATACAGGTTCCACGGGAGAATTGTGAATCGGACCATGGAGTGGGTCTAGATGGGCCCTCGCTTAAGTGGGGTGGGAATGAAGGAGGGTTGCAAGGGAAGGGACGCAGGTACAGTGTCGGCACTGTCCTCCCGACTGGACAGTGGGCGGCCACTCACGTCGCAGTGTATCACCTCCATCTGTGAGGTGAGGGCAGAGGAATCTCAGATTGAACCGGGCACAAGGCAGGAAACAGCATTGGGAGAGGGAAAGTGGGACCTTAAGAGGGGTCATAATTGGCCATGAGATGAGAATGACGAGGACTGTGGGCAGGCATTGACAGGTGGAGTCAGGTGGACAGGGAGACATCAGACACTGAGCCAAGGGTCGAGGACACAGAAGGCATGCACACGGAGGTCAAGGACAAGGGCAGGAGGGAATGAGATGAGTGAGACTGCGTGCTCCGTCAGAGGTTACTTCCAGTCTGCCACTGGTGCTTTGTCAAGTTAGTCTGGCGCGGTCCCGCGGGCGGAATCATTGCCCGCTGTTGCAGTGACAGAGTGGCTCAGTGGGCTCTCCAGGTTCTCCCAGACGGGAGGTCGTGCTCGCAGTGGGCTCAGAAAACCCATCGCCCGCAACCCGCGGTCGGCTATAGTCAATACTGTGTATCCGTAGGGAAGAGAGACGCTCAGGCCGCCGGGTGAGCGACGATTCCCGTAAAGGCGACTCCATTGTGCCAGTCTCGATTCTGAAATGGCCCATCGTCGCCATCCCGGACAGATGGGAAAAAACAATGGGGATGGCAACGATATTCCAGGGAGTTTTGCAGGCTCGAGCCAACGCAGCCAACAACGACCAACGCAGGGCTCCCAAGGCCATGACCAGCACCCGCACCCACTGGAGTCTCTACCGGGGATCAACGGACCGCTGCTGCCCCGTCTTCCCCTTGAGTTCCTCTCACTCTCGTTCCCAGAACCTCAACCGGGGCTTGAGGCTTCAGCCAGGTCCAGGGCTGCTTGAGCGGCGTTCCTTCCGCACACTCTGATAGGCAGGTCTTCACCCATTCACTCACTCACTCACTCGCTCTCACTCCCCCACTCATCAACCACTCTCATCCCCGAGCTTCACTCACCCACTCATCCACTCAAAACTCTCAGGTCCAGACTCAAGACTCCAGACTCAGACTCACCTCAGACTCAAACTCAGACTCAGACTCTTCGGGCTCTGCTCTGGACTCCAGACGTCGCATATGCGCCTCACCAATAAGCACAAGTCTAACGGATAAAATGTGGATCTGTACTGTTTCTCGTCTCTTTGGGATGGCAGTTACCCGATGCTGTGGATTGCATAACCAACCCAAGACACCTCCTCATTCTCTTTGACCACTCACCTCATCTCACTCAGCTCCCGAAGCTATGGTCCTGGACACGATGGACAAAGCGTACCCCCCCCCCCCCCGAGACCCCCTACCTACTGCGTATGCTCCTCTTCCCCCATCCTCCCTTCCCTCGCCTAGCTTCCACGTCTATGGCACTGGAAGTGGCAAAGCAATTTAGCCTCTAGGCTTGTTATCTTCACGTTTCTTACCTTACGGTACGTGCCTACCACCTGCATACCTACCCTTCGCTACCACCTTTTTTGCACCTCGCGTCTTTGGATGGCACGATGGCTTGGTCTCTGCATTCTCGCCTCCGTTTCGACCAGATTTGCTTCCCGTTCCTGTGCGGCGCGGATGTTCAAAATACATCTTCCCAAAGACAGAAAAAAGTGCTTGCACAAATGGGAACTTTTCCTTCACACCATGCCACACCAGAGCATAACCTCAACCACCCCCCCGATACCCGGCATCGTGGATATCGGGAACATTAATCGTAGGTTTTTACGGCTGTACCGCAACGCATTTCATTTCAACTTCCTCTTCAAAGCGCCGCCCGGCCAAAGCCCGAGAAAGACGGGATGAATCCGTCATCTCTTGGCAACTTTACCATTCGGTCCCGACGCATCCACTCTATCCCCGCCCAAGGCCAAGGCATTCGTCAACCGTGGGTACCAAATAATGCCAGCCTCAGAATACCTATGCGTCCCTTAACCGTACATCGTTGGCTTTCGTCGCTCATTCGCTTCAGTACCTAGTTGCCGCTGCCTTTTCCATCGCCAACAGGCTCAAAGACCACGGGTATCTTTTGCCCTCTTTACACAGTATCTTACTTGCGACACGGACACAAGCGTTTCGCTGTCGGTCGATCGGCTGGCCGGCCTTGGGTCGCAATTGCAGATCTTGGCAGCAATTGTGCAACGCATTATCCACTTTGTACTGAATCTGTACAGATTCGGGTCCGCATGCTTTACTACCGTCTGCCTTCAGCCCTTCAATTCACCGTCTGGCCCCCATTCAGTGACGCTGCACAAGTTCACGACTGCCAAGCCTTGGGGGCTTTCTATTCATTCAACGGATGGGAAATGGGAACGACTGACTAGGTACTGCCATTGCTTCGAATTCCATTGTCTACGGGTACGTCGAGGATTCAAGTGCTCGACATGGTCGGAGGCTAGAAGCAATTGCCTGCCGGGCCTGGATATTCATTCCGAATCTTTCGTACGAGCCTGTGAGGGTACGGAGTAATCGACACACAGTGTACAAATTCCCTACAGTCTGAACTTGGAGACTGGGGTTTATCCACCTGCCCATCCTGCCATCCTCCACAGTCCCCCGTCTGCCCTGACCTTGACCACTCTCAATTCGACCTCTCGCCCGCCAATGCCAACAGTATTAAATCTCCCCGGTGGAGCCCATGGGAACTCGGTAGATGCTGATCACTCGGAAAGGTCCTTGGCTAGCGCCTCGACTGATTCAGTCTACCTCGGAAGCCCGATGCTTCCCTTCTATGCTTATTTTTCGTCTTTCACCAAGTTGAGATCCAAGCACCACGCACCAAGTTTCCCCCAAGTATACGTACGGACAGGCGTACAGATACAGATACCTACCTACGGCCGGGAGGCCCGTTTTCCAGAGATAAACGCTGTCGCACTCACGACTCAAGACTCAAACTTGCTATCACGGCCCATGTTCATTTGCTGGCCATGACCCACCATCCGTCAAGAAACTCTATTACTACTCTACATTCGACGG